CCTCAAAATTAAAATTTACCGCCAGGTGGTGCTGGCACAAGCCTTTAATCCCAGCACTCAGGAGGCAGAGGCAGGCAGATCTCTGTGAGTTCAAGGCCAGACTGGTCCGTCTACAGAGCTAGTTTCAGGAGAGCTAGGGCCGTTACACAGAGAAACCTTGTCTCGAAAAACAAAAACAAACATAGAGAAAAAATTAAAATTTACCAAAGAAGTCAGGGCACGATATAAACTCAGAATCTGTGGCAGCTTGCAAAAGGCCTGCAAGGTGTAAGCCACATGGGCTCCCGGTGCTGTGGGAGAAGTGAGCACAAGGTCCCATCCCTAATGCAGAAGCCATCTCCGACTGATAACCACTTGCAAAGGAAAAATTAGTTTTCTCCAACAGGGTCTCACTGACTACACACGCAGGCCCCAGGCCCAACAGTAGATGGCTAAGACAAAATGAGCTCAATTATATTTCCAGAGGTGTTCTGTAACAAAGCTTTGTACGGGCTTTTAGTGCTATTTTACCTCAGAGGTTTTCTGCTTGGATATTATGATTTCTAGTTTTGTGTCTTTATGGATTTCTGTGTATGCAAATGTGGCTCTAAGTGTTTCTTGTGCTTTTTCTTTGGATTTTTTTTTCTTGGTTTGGTTTGGTTTTTGTCCTATTCTGTCTTGTTTGCTTTAATTTTATCTTTATTATTATTCTTATTTTATCTTTATAATGATGATGATGATGTCTGTTTTCTAATGAGAAAGAAAAAAGGGTATGGATTTGGGTGGGCAGAGAGGGGGGAAGGACCTAGGAGGAGTTGGGGGAGGGGAAATCATACTCAGAATATACTACAAGAAAATAATTAATTTTTAATTTTTTTCTATTTGTTTTTGTTTTTTCGAAACAGGGTTTCTCTGTGTAGCCCTTGCTATCCTGAAACTCGCTCTGTAGATCTGGCTGGCCTCCAACTTGGAGACTGTTTCTGCCTCCCGAGTGCTACAATTAAAAAAGGCATATACTCCCACTACCCAGCTATTTTCAATTTTAAAAAAGGGGAAAAATTAAGTTTTTTTTTAATTTATTTATTTATTTAGCCTGCATGCCTGCACACGCACCAGAAGAGGGCACCAGATCTCATTATATGGTTATGAGCTACTATGTGGTTGCTGGGAATTGAACTCAGGACCTTTGGAAGAGCAGGCAGTGCTCTTAACCACTGAGCCATCTCTCCCCAGCCCCCAAAATTAAGTTTTAAAAGCTAAAAAAAGAAAAGAAAGAAAGAAAAAGAGCTCAACACATGTCTCAGTGACCTCAATCAATGATGGAACACTTTCCACAGTACAGCAAAAGAAAACCCAAAAGTATTACTCGGTCTTAAGGAGGAAAATCTGGCACATGCCGCAACATGGATAAGCCATAAAGACATTTCAAGGACAAAGGGATAGAACTGTGTTCCACTTGTATGAAATACCTAGAATAAAATCAAGAAAACAGCAGAACGGTGCCTGGCAGAAGCTAGAGGAGGGAAAATGGGGAGCTGTTTAATAGGTGATAAATTTCACTTTGGCAAGATAAAAAAGTCCTACAATTAGATCTGCTGCATAGCAATGTGAATATACTTGCCACTGAGATACACAGTTGAAAATGGTTAAGCAGTTAGAGATGGTTAGAAGGAGAGAATGGTTAAGAGGCAAATACAAAGTGTTTTATCACAATAAAAACAACTGTCCTGGTTTCACTCTGTTGCTCACCAAAAGCTACTTGGGAAGGAAAGAGTTTGTTTGGTTCACACTTCCAGGTCATACAATTCATCACTGAAGGAAGTCAGGTCAAGAATTTAAAAGGCAGGAACCATGCAGGAACACCACTTCCTGGCTCACACGTTCACACTTAGCTAGCTTTCTTATATAGCCCAGGGAATGGTGCTGCCCACGGTGGGCTGGGTCCTCCCACATAGGTTAAGCAAGACAATCCCTCAAGAGGCATGTCCCAAGAACAACATGATAAAGGCAATTTCAATGTCAACTGAGGTGTCTGTCTGTGTGTGTGTGTGTGTGTGTGTGTGTGTGTGTGTGTGTGCGCGCGCGCGCGCGCATGCGCGCGCGCGTGCTCTGCCTGCATGTATGCCTGCCTATATGCCAGAAGAGGGCACCAGCTCCCATTACAGGTGATTGTGAGCTACCATGTGGGTGCTGGGAATTGAAATCAGGACCTCTGGAAGAGCGGCCAGTTCTCTTAACCACTGAGTCATCTCTCCAGCCTCTCAACTGAAACTTTAATACTAACAAGAAACAACAATTCATAAGAGAAACAAACCAAAACCCAACAATAGCATACTGCTAAGATGGCTGTAACACAGAGGTAGATATTGGGGTAAGCAGTGTAGGACAATGTCCTAAGCATGCCAAGGCCTTGGGGGCTACATCCAGCTCCAAAAGTATTGATGAGAATGTGAAGCACTCAGGAACCTCACAGATAACTGGTAGGAATCAAAAATGGTATAAAAGTTTCAGAACTTGGGCTCAGAGGTTAAGAGCACTGGCTGCTTTTCCAGAGGTCCTGAGTTCAATTCCCAGCACCTACATGGTGAGGACTCACCACCCTCTATGATAAGATCTGGTGCACTTTTCTGGCATGCAGGCACACATGCAGACAGAACACTGAATACATAAGAGATAAATAAATCTTTTTTTAAAAAAAGGTTCAGAACTTTACTGTATGACCTAATGATTCCACTCTTACCTTTCCAAGAGAAATGAAACATAGGTCCATGTTCGTAGCAGCATTAGCCATAATGGCTAGAAACTAAACAATCTAGGTGCCCGTGAACTTGCGAATGCCTTAAAATACATGCATGTATACAAACACACATACATAAAAAGGCTGGCCTGACAGTGTTCACCTGCAATCCCAGCTGGCTACAGTATGAGGCTTGAGACCAAAACATTCAGAACCAGCATAAGAAGATCCCATTTCAAAAAACACAGGAGAGAGAGAGAGAGAGAGAAAGGAAAACCAAAGTGCAACAAAAGGAACTAAGTCTAGCAACATGCTGCAAAACGGCTGAACTTCAAAAACCATTATGCTAAAACAAAAGCCAACAACCACAAGACATAATAATGAAATCAGACCTTCAGGTTAGACAAGACAGCCCAAGGCAGCCAGTTAGATTTTTTTTTTTTTTTGCCAGTGCCAGTCAATTTCTAACAACTACTAAGCAAAGTCCGAACTACCTAGCTCTTACTTAAAATATAGTTAAAATACATATTCACGAAACAAGATTTGGGTCACCTAGATGGCTCAGAGGGTAAACGCATATATTGTCAGGCCCGACAAGGTGAGTTTCCTGACTTCCCATCCAACCACAGAACACCTATGAAGGAAGAAAACCTCTGATATCCACACACCCGTGAGCCCACACACATAATCACACCAAACAAATAAATGTTCAAAAGATTTTCAATAGACAAAATAGAAACGATCTTCTACAATTCTTTAGAAGTAAAAACGAAAAATACTGTAGATGTCTGATTACAGATGTGAAAGAAAGAAATGTCTTTCTTTAAAAAAAAAAAAAATTGGAAACACGGTCATTACACCAGCCAGTTCACTGTCACCAGAACTGGTAAAATGCGACCTCTCTGCGAAGCAGCAGATTCCTGCACTTTCTCAACAGAGGGCAGCACTGCAATCAGCATCGAACTGCAGGTTGCGGGCTCCCGGACTCTTCATTACGGGAGCTCCGGGGCAGAAGGTGCTGACTTAGCTAAAGTCTTAGCTTCCACCACCTAGGTCAACGCTAGAATACAAACAGTTAGGAGGGAGGCACCGCAGGAGGAAGAGCTTCAGTTTCAAGGCACTTTCTAGAGTTAAAGACCCTCCAGGGCATTATGCCATAAATAAGGCCCAATCACGCCATTTTCCTCCCTCCTTTTTTGAGACAGGGTCTCACAGTGCAGCCCTGGCCGTCCTGGAACTCCCTATATAGACCAAGTTGGCCTTGAGCTCTGGAGATCTGCCTGCCTCTTCTGGGCTTAAGGGCCTGGACTCCAACACTCTAATTATTAAAATGCCTCTTTCAGACAGAGCAGAAACCTCAGAATCAACTGCTGACCCCCACCCACCCAGGGGTAGGGGGGAGCAGCAATACTAAGCCTCAGACTTTCCCACTGATTCAACGCTGAGATAAAAGACAGGAGGAAAGCGATTTCCACCGAGCCTCCCTTACAGGGGAGGAATTAACATAACATTAAACTGAGGATGTGGTTCAGTGGTACACCCTATATCGCAGAAGGGCCTGGATTCCACCCCAGCACAACAACAACAACAAAAGCCACAAGCATCAGGCAATCAAAATGATAACCACATCACCAAAGAAGTACAACCACAGCGGCGAAAACACAAAGAAACGGTGGTTTGGTGTGCTCTGAACCTACACCGACCGGTCTCTTAAAAACCATCAATAATATTTGTCAGGATGCACGCTGCCTATTTCAACGCAATCTTTTCTCTTTTACATTTACTTACTGGGGTTGAGGTGTGCTCACGTGCCACAGTATTGGTGTGGAGGTCAGAGAACAACTTGCTCTCGAGAGTCGGTTCTCCCCTTCGACCACCGTCAGGCGCCTTTACCCGCTGTGCGCAGTGCCCCTCGGCCTCAACCTATTTCGACCCTGAGAAATCCGCCTCTAGGAGGGGGACGTGACTTGCCCAAGGTCGCACAGCTGGCCTTCTAGATTTTGCCCACCCCCACCCCCACCCCCGCCGCCGCCAGGCTGCGCTGGAAAAGGGATGGGGCCTCCAGGGCATGGCCCGCCCGCCAGGCGGGAACCGGGAGCCGGCCGAAGGCCCAAGCAGCCAGCCCATCCCCCCCTCCCCCCACTCACCGCTGGGGAAACTGAGGTCTGCAGGAGCCAGTCAGCCCAGCCTCTGAGGCCCGGATTCTGCCTCCCCAGCAGCCCAGCTGAGAGCATCTCTAGGGGCCGGGAGGATCTCGCTGTGAGCCACAGCAGGCGACACTCACCTGGAGCTGCGGAACCTTGCCTCAGCCTCTCTTCTGCCACGCTTGGCTGTGACCACGCCCCCTTGTGCCACGCCCATAAAGCTCGCTGGCTCAAACGGCGCCCCCTGCCGCGGCGGAGGTGCATAGCAGAGCAGTTTTCCTCTACTCCACCTCCCAGAAACTGGGATTTTCTCCACCCTTCTTTACTTTTTCTTTCTTCTTCATTCTCAGTCACTCCTCTTCAGTACCTTCCTCCCTCTAGTTTTGTCTTTCTTTTTTCTTTTCTTTTTGGCAACCAGATCACCTCTCTCATTCAGTATTTGTGTACTACACACTGCAGTTCAAAATGTTGCGTGTACGGCAGAAAAGACAGAATTTCTGCAGCCAAAAGCTTCAGTTCTATCAAAAGAGATGACGTGGGTGCACACCTTTATCCTAGCCTCAGGAGGCAGAGGCAGGCCAGAATCTGTGTGTTAAAGGCCAGCCTAGGCTACACAATGATTCCAGGCCAGCTAGGGCAGCAAAGTGACACCCCATCTCAAAAAATAATGACACTAATCCAAAAGTCCACATTTGCAACACACGTGACACCACCTCTAAAGGACACATATACGCATATACACTAAGCCTGATGTTTTCTTCTCTGTAAGGAAGGTCACTGTGCAGTAGTCACTAGGAGCAGAGGGGACAAGCAGGCCAATAAAGGACTTCTTGTTTGTTTTCTCCTTGGGGCGGAGCTAGGGTTTTTGTTTGTTTGCTTGCTTGTGGGATTTTTTTTTCTTGCCTTTGTAATATTGAATCTGTGATCAGCTCATTTCTGAAGACTGGCTATTGAGGGAACCATTGTAACCATCTATTAATATCATATTCAGAAAGCAATAAAACCCATGAACATAAGAAAAAGGTTCCAGCCTGGAGAGATGGCTCAGCTATTAAAAGGCTAGGTTCACAACCAAAACTATAAAAGTTCGGTTCCCAGCACCCATGGTTGTCCCTCCAGGTACCAAAAATTAAAGAAAAAGGAAAGAAAAAGATTCCATAAAAATAATTGTTTCCATCCCTCTACCCCGCAGTGCTAAGGAATGGATCCAAGTTCTTGCACAACCTAGGCAAGCTGTGTGCCACCGAACGAATAATACCCCTAAGGGACACTCCAGTGAGTAAGCCCAATACACCCACTGGTTTGCCAAGTTGGACTCTGGCGGAGTCGCTAATGTGGGCTGTCATTGACTCCTTAGTTGTCTCTTGAGTTTGGGGATTATTAATGTGTACCGCCACACTCATCTCTCTCCGTCTTCAGAGCACAGTTAGTGAGCAGAGGACGAAAAGCAAAATGACCAGAGTGAGCGAAAGGAGCTTGTACAGTAGAAGCAGGAGTGACAAGGGAGGGTTCATCCAGAATTTTGAATGAAAACTATCACGCCTGTCAATTTAGCCATACCAGGGCTTACCTGACCAAACACTAGTCTAGATAATTCTAAGAAGCTGTTTTGGGGTAAAAGTTAATGACTAAATCAGATGTTGAGGGACTGGAGAGATGGCTCAGGGGTTAAGGGCGCTATCTGCTCTTCCAGAGTTCAATTTCCAGCAATCACATGATGGCTCACAACCATCTATGACAGGGTCTGATGCCCTCTTCCAGCGTGCTGGTGTATATGCAGAGCACTCGTACATAAAACATAAATAAACAGAATTTTTAAGAAATCAGATCTTGGATAAGGCAGATTGCCTGCTATAATATAGAGGGCCCTCATCCAGTCAGCTGGAGGACTTGACTTTAAAACAAAACTGCTGCCCTCCCCAAGCAAAAGGGAAGCTTCTAGAAGGCCTTCAGAGCTGAACTGCAACAAGATTGACTTGTCCATGGGTCTGTAGTCTGAGCACTACCCTGATGACTCTAAACACACGAGCCTCCACAATTACATGAGCAGTGTCTTTTTACACACATGCATACACGCACGCACACGCGTGTGTGCACACACACCGACACACACACATAAAATTGTTGCACTCTTTGGAGAACCAGAAAAATGCAATTCATTTTCATCCTTTTCTGTAACAGTGAGCTATTTTTAGTAAGTTAATGCCTATTACTTGGGGACTCATTAAACATTTACTTGAGCACAAGTGGAAAGATAGCCTTGCCTTATTAAAAATGGAGAAAGCAGCACGCACTCAACTAGTAAAATATGATTCCATTCATGATTCTTTAAAAGAAAAAGGAGGAAGAGGAGGAGGAGGAGTAAGAGGAGGAAAGAAAGAAAACCCAAGAAAGATGATGCATATCCATAATTCCAGCACTCAGGAGGCAGAGAGGCAGGACTGACTGTCACAATTTCAAACCAGGTTGAGCCACACAGTGAGTTCCAGGCCAGCTTGGAGTACTGTCTCAAAAAACAAAGAAGCCAGGACAAGACTGGGGATGGAGTTTAATTGGTAGAGTGCTTGCCTGGCCTACACAAGCTCAGAGTGAACACTTCTATAAACATGAACTGGCTGTGGTGGCACATATCTGTAATACCCCAGCACTTTGGAGGTGAAGCCTGAAGAATCAAGAGCTCAGATCCATGCCCAGCTACATGGCAATCATGAGGTCAGCCTGGGATACATGGCACACTGCCTCAAAAGCAATATAATAGGGCTGGAGAGGTGGCTCAGAGGTTAAGAGCACTGACTGTTCTTCCAGAGGTCCTGAGTTCAATTCCCAGCAACCACATGGTGGCTCACAGCCATCTATAATGAGAACTGGCGCCCTCTTCTGGCATGCAGGCATACATGGAAGAAATGTTGTATACATAATAAAAATAAATCTTTAAAAAAAAAAGCAATATAATTAAGCCGGCAGTGGTGGTGAATGCCTTTAACCCCAGCACTCACAAGGCTGAAGGATCTCTGAGTTCGGGGCCAGCCTGGTCTATAGAGAGAATTCCAGGACAGGCAGGACTGTTACACAGAGAAACCCTGTCTCAAAAAAACACAAACAAAAAAAGTAACAATAAAAGTAAAATAAAAAGAAAAGAATAAAATCTCTACATACACAGATGTGCATTAGTATATTCACAAAAATAAATTTGCAAACAGGGCCAGTCAAACGGCTTAGCTGATAAAGGCACTGACCATGGAGTCCAGCACTCCCTATTTTTGAACACACAGATGTTTTGGGCTTTCCTAACCTTTCTCTAGAGCCCCTCTCTGCTATGTGGCTGACCTCCGTGCCAGTTTAATCTTCTCCAGTCTTCTCTGGACAGCTGCAAGATTTACAGCTTGCTATACCTGGGTCTTTTTCCCCTCACTTTGGAGTTGTTTTGTTTTGTTTGAGTCTAATAAATTGTCTTCAAACTTCTATTTGAGTCCATTCTTAAATTCTTTATTAATGAGAGAGACTAAGAACCCTGATCTTCCAAGCATCAGAGTGGATGGTGGTGGCTCCCCAAGGCTTCCCACAGGTTTCTCACAATGTTTCTTTCCTGCCTTTTAATCCTTTAATCAGCGGAGAATATGAGCCTGTTCCTGCACCCATCCACAGCATCAAGCAAATGTGTTTTCCTGTCTCCCTGGGGAAAGCCACACACTAGTCTAAATTAAAACAAAGATTGTCTGTTCGTCTCTCACTGATGAAGTGACTATATATAAATTAGGAGATGATGCCAACACTGAATATAACCACGAAAAGATTAATGCACATGAATAGTCAGAAGTGAAATGGCAGAAGATGGGGCAGATACATCTCTGAAGGTGACTTATGTCTGGGCGGTGCTGGAGATCAAACTCAGGGCCTTGTGTCCAGGGAAGTACTCTAGCCTTGAAGAGGGCACGCACTGGTGCTAGAGGGGAGTCACACTGCCTAGTAAAGACAGACAGTAAATGTTCTTTAAAAAAAAAAAAAAGATTTATTAATTTATTACATATACACATGCCAGAAGAGGGCACCAGATCTCATTATAGATGGTTGTGAGCCACCATGTGGTTGCTGAGAATTGAACTCAGGACCTCTAGAAGAACAACAACAGCCAGTGTTCTTAACCTCTGAGGCATCTCTCCAGCCTGTAAATGTGAGGTCTTCTATGCCTTCTTGAGATGACCTAAATATACCAAGCAGTGGGTTACTGGGTAGCCACCCAGACTAACTGTAGAATTTTTTTTTTTATGGATTTGGGACCAGGGAAGTAATTTTGTAATCTGCATCAACATCTTCCTTTAAAAAGAAATGGGAAATGGCTAAAGAGATCCTTACGTTGGGGGGGGGGGGAGTTGTCCTCAACCTACCTTAATGCTGCTTAGGTTGTGGTGACCCCCAACCACAAAAACTACTTCATCTGTAATCTTGCTACTGTTACAAATAACAGTGTAAATAAATATCCTGTGTTTTCTGATAGCAACACCAGTGAAGGGGTCAGAATCTCCAAAGGGGTAATGACCCACAGGCTGAGAACCACTGATTTAATGGTTAATTGACCACAAGCAGTTTCTTTGTGTCTTCAGGGGGTTTTTGTTTTGTTTTGTTTTGTTTTGTTTTCGAGACGGGGTTTCTCTGTAGCTTTGGAGCCTGTCCTGGAACTAGCTCTTATACACCAGGCTGGCCTCAAACTCACAGAGATCCACCTGCCTATGCCTTCCGAGTGCTGGGATTAAAGGCGTGCGCCACTGCCACCTAGGTACCAGGCAGTTTCTACCAGAGCATTTCGGTGCTGAGCACCTGCGTGACACAACCTCTCTACAACTCCAGTTCTAGGGGATATGACGCCCTCTTCTGGTCTTTGTGAACACTACAGGCAAAACATCAATACACAGAAAATAAAAAATAAATCTTAAAAAATTAAAGAAAGAAAGAAAGAAAGAAAGAAAGAAAGAAAGAAAGAAAGAAAGGGGTAGAGTAGAAAGAAAAAAAATGCCAAGAAGCATCACAAGTCAGGATGGATATATTTATCTTTACTTTATCACAACACAAAACACACTTCTTGCCCAAAGTTGAGGGGTCAAATACCCACTGCCCAGGAGAAACGTAGGTGCACACCAGAAAACCTGTTTAGGCAGTATAGGCTCCTGAAAGAAATCAGTAAGACAGTAAGGAAAAGCAACGAGCCAAATGTCCATCAAC